TTCTACAAACACAGCGGGGACACAGATAGTTATCGTGGTGGAAAACAACGACTACTGTAAAAGTTGACAATTTATGCCGTTTGTGTAAGTACTTACATCTACCAAACAGACATAGCATGCCATTCGATCAACCTAAGACATTATAGTTATCGGGGCTTTTGAGTGAATAAACATGAAACATTCTAGTAAGATTTTCGTACTGATATTCATTTCATCGTCTCCCTGTGCAAGCACATAGACTGTCTATTAACTATTAGTGGTATTTTTAATAAATTTGTGTTGAATGGGTTTTGAATTAAGCAGATATGACGTCTAAATGTGAGCCGCAAGGAGTGGTATACAATGGGAAGCATGGCTACTCATCTGGAATGGAGAATAGTAGAAAAGTTGTACAGACTGCGATCAAACAAATACTGCAATGTGTAGGTAAGGAGGACAACGTTTTATAACGTGACACATGACATGTAATATTTACAAATGCATATGAAATAAATGTGTGTTAATGTTATTTGTTTGACAGTAACTGTGTAAAATTTGAAACCTTTTTGATTTGAAAGGAAACTTATATATTATATGTACATACATTACAATGTTTTTAGCATTTACTATATCTTCACGCGCGATGCCTGATATCAATGATAATATGAATCAGCAAACGAGACTGACCAACCACTCATCCTGTAGCAGGTATTCATCTTTTGCAATATATGGGGAATGTATACGTAGTTCAATGACACTAATGTTAACATCAGGTGCAGTGTTGAACACATTCCAGAAATATCACCATGTAAAAAAAGCACATGCTATACTGAACTCGGATATATATATTTATTCCAATGGATGCCACAAAGTGTAATATATACTTACCGATTTCACTTTGGGTTATTTTCATTTATCCTTTGAACATTGTGTAGATGTCCTACAATAAAGACACTGTCATTGTATTTTTAAAGATGATTGTACATGAAACGAGCGAACTGCATCTTTCAACACGCATTCAAAATAAGATACATATGAGCACAAGAACACATGTATTTATATATATCTTGTCTACATTCATTAAAGTAAAATGTTCCCTACCAGGTGTCACGGGAACAAAAGCAATATGTCTTTGGACGTGACATGCTGATAAAATCGGTCGAGAGGCAGAAAGAGTATGCTCCTACGTTGCTGACATTCACCCACTCTCCGATATCCATCAGTGGTAACATGACATTCATTGCTAGGCAGTCCATGCTACAACAAGTTGGGCCCCACACAGTGCTGGAATGTTCTTCATTTCTAACCTGTAAATATTGTTTCCATAAGCAGATAAATTACTTTCATGATACTGACTGTGGTATTACTTCTGATTAGTATAATAGTATATACGTAATATCCACATGAAGGATGGTCGCCTTTTAGCATTTCTTTTTTCTGAAAAAAGCAAGGGAAACTCGCAAAGAAACTCAAAACATATCCATCATGTACTTCTAAAAAAATAGTGACACCAGTCTTGCAAGGTCAGAATCCAAAATGACTGCCTGTAGGCAACTTTGGTCTTTTAAACAACTCACAATCAAAGACGGGCACATCCTGGGAACAAGGGATACGAAGATGTGAATTATAATAAAGATGTATTTATTATTCATATTTGTGAAGAAGTAGCTGCAACAATGATGAATAGTTCAAATCCTAGATAACAGCATCTCAGGTAGTTGTGATTTGTTTTACTTCCAAAAAGAAAACGGCTCAAAAAGGAACCAATATATCTAACACCTAGATATATCGATAATAAATAAAAACTGTCATTAAATGATTGTCGCCTGTAAGCTTCGGATCAATTTCAAAATGGAGCCATGCACAACACAGGACTTAGTTGAACTTACAAACGATGTGTATGAAATTGAATATGACCGCCTGTTATCCATTTCGACCACAGACTATTTCACTAGCGTGTTTTTTTTTTTTTTTTCGTTTATCAATAAAGTCATCAATATTACTACCGACTATCAACTGACAGTACCCCCCACCCACCCCCCCATATAAAACAGAGAAATAAGGCTGTCTTTTTGAAAATTCATTTTTCTCCCTTTGTCCATGTCGTCAATTTGAACGAACATCTGTGTCCAAGCATTGTATAAAGATACGAAAAATATCTTTGAAGATTGTGGTGGAGAAATGATAGCATAAGTTAATTTTAAGAGTAAAATATGTTGTTTTTTTAAATCTTGAAAATGTTAACATGAATCAACTGCTTCTCTACTTTATATAAATAAACTACTCAACATATATTACATATTATTGTTTGGTATGGGGGGGGGGGGGGGCGAGGGGGGGTATCCGATCCTATCATGAGTAGGTAATCTAAGTGATTGTATTACTGGAGTGTGATTATCTTCGTCTTAAAAAAAATACATGAAATATAGGCCCTTTTCCGTTGGATATCTTGCAAGCTAGTTCTGGAAATGTAATAGTGATTGCAAACAAGGATTAACGTATTGGACACTTTATCTGCAGGCAAAATATCATACCTGTCAAATAAATCTTGAAGTGTGGATTTAACATTAAGATCGAGGAAAGCCAATCGGTATGTTTTCATTTTTGATATCATGCTGCAAATTCATTCACGAATGATGAACCGAATGGACTTAACTCACTTAGAAAGTGTAAGAAAGAATCAGAATCCAAAAGTATATCGAAATTTATATTCCAGTTTACGGGCGGGGTTTCCCAATAAAACAAAAGTGAATACTAATGAAAAAAAAAGGAAATTTATATTTTTTCGTAAATTAATTTATTGATCACGAAATAATTTTTATTTGCCATATATTCTGTTATATATACCATTCGGCCACCTACTAGTTTGCATTTTTTAAAGAAATGTCTCCCTTTTTCGTGCTTGTCAACAATTGATTGGTGTGATTATTACCTAATTTGTCAGCAGATATGGACTATTATGCAAAATAACTTAATATATTTTTTTGATCGGGAAATGTCCCACAAAGTCATGGGAAATGGCAACTGTGATTCCTATCCAAACACAGGTTAAAGCCACGACAGACCCCTCCAGGTACCGCCCAATATCACTCAAGAGTTCCGTTTGTAAAACTCTAAAGCAGATTTGTACAAAGTTTGAAAGACATCGGTTGGACAGTTCTTTGAGGTGTTACCGCTGTATTTCTTGCCGATTGTTTCCTTAACGTTGAAAACGTGTAAAACATTAGTTGGCTATCATGGCAACTAGGCCACCTCCGTAATATGCGATTAGTATACAGAAAATCGCCCATGTTAATGCGTTCAATGTGGATATAAACAAACGAACCTTTCCACTTTTGTCAAATAATTTAACACACAAAAATGAAATGAAATGTGGTATACAGCTCTCTGTAAATTTCGGGTGCATGAAGTTAAGTCCGAGTGCAAAATGCTTTCCAAAATATTGTACAAAAAAATCACAAGTGAATATTCATTTCAATATAAATTGCGTATATCCAAATAAGGGAATAGACAACTTCAAACAGCTGTTTCACCATTACATTACTAGGCATTGATTCAATGAATGATCAATAATGAATAATTTAAAAACGAGATATGCAATGTCGACAACACATTATGACTTTTGTATGCATAATTGCATATATATAATCTATCACGATAATAATTTCCTTTAATAGCACAAACCTATAAGATCAATCATCTGGAACCATAGTATCTTAATGTTGGTCGATGTTGTTTGCACTGAAAGAGTAAAATTCAATCAAAATTATGAGACAAAAGTGGGGTTTAAAATATTGCCATAGAAGCAAATACAACAATAAAAACTCAATAGATGATACAATCGTCATCAAATATTTGCGAAATCTGTCTTTACCACAGATAGAAACTAAATAAATGACACAATCGCTATTAGATATCTGGAAAAGCATCTTTATTACTGATAGAAACTGAATAGATGATAGAATCGTCAGTCATCAGATATCCGTGAAATGTATCTACACCAAAGGTAGAAACTAAATAGATGATAGAATAATCAGATATCAGTACATCAGATATCCGTAATGAAATGTATGTATCTACACCAAAGGTAGAAACTGAATAGATGATAAAATCGTCAGTCATCAGATATCCGTGAAACGTATCTACACCAAAGGTAGAAACTGAATAGATGATAAAATCGTCAGTCATCAGATATCCGTGAAATGTATCTACACCAAAGTTAGAAACTGAATAGATGATAGAATTGTCAGTAATCAGATATCCGTGAAACGTATCTACACCAAAGGTAGAAACTGAATAGATGATAAAATCGTCAGTCATCAGATATCCGTGAAATGTATCTACACCAAAGATAGAAACTAAATAGATGATAGAATCGTCAGTAATCAGATATCCGTGAAATGTATCTACACCAAAGATAGAAACTAAATAGATGATGGAATCGTCATGAAATATTTATCAAAGTTAGAAACTGAATAGATCACAGAATCGTCAGTCATCAGATATCCGTCAAATGTTTCTGCACCAAAGTTAGAAATAAAATAGATGATAGATTCGTTATCAAATATCTGGAAAAGCATATTTAAAAAGAGAAAGGAACAGATTGAATGATAGAATCGGCATCACATATTTGTTAAATTTGTCTTTATCAAAGAGAGAGACTAAATAAATGATGGAAACGTCATCAAATATTTGTGAAATGTGTTTTTATCAAAGATAGAAACTGAATAAATGATGGAATCGCCATCGAAAATTTGTTAAATGTGTCTTTATCAAAGTTAGAAACTGAATAGATAGAATCGCATGCATGTGTTGCATGTTTATATGTCCCGTATAATGATCTTCGATGATTCTGGGGCGAAATATCTTGTGGGGCGCTTAAACATTTTGTACGATTTGAGGTAAATCGAGTTTAAATGTTTGGGGCGATACCGACTTTAAATGTTTGAGGCGATATGAATCAAATCTATACAGACCTAGGCCATTTTCATTATCTGTATTTCCAAGTGAAATATGCGTGTTGGTGGAAAGTCGAACATTGAAATTGTATGCAAAAAATCACGTAATGATTCTTATGTTAGACCTGGTGTTATGAGTTACGACAGTGATGATGATAGAGTATTTGTTGAATTTCCAAAATCGCTTGTTAACGCACTCAACATTGGGTTAGATAGCCTTATGGACGAAACAAACTGGATGGGATATATATCGCTAACGCCTCTCAAGATTTTAAACTCAAATGCTGCGGATTGCCATGAAGGATTTCCATTTTCTAAAGCATATTGTTGTACAGAAAAATATTCCACTCAGTATTCGTTTGGATCCGTTTTCCGGAAAGGCATATCGATGCTGATCGAGTTCATGCTTCATCGGACAGTGCCAGACAACAAGCAGGAGAAATTTGTTCTGAGCAAACTTTTGCATTACTTGTTCGATTACCTGGACACAGGTAATACATGTACATATATCATGCACTAACGGAATGTGATTTGATAATTCACGTTCATTAAAAATGTATGAGTTATTTTTTTAAAATACATGATGTAATTTACTTGGAAAACTGCCTCTCCCCCCTTTCCGCCCACTCCTATTCACCTGTTCACGGAATGGGATACAAGAGACAAGAAAGTTTATTGTTTGTCGTATAAAGTGTAACATGAAACATTAGCCTAGAAGAGCTATTATTATGACAAACATATAAAAATATCACAGAAATTGTAAGAACATAAACTATAGATTGAACAACTTGAAAGTACTTGAAATGTATATGCTGTGTGTTACTTATAAATTATCAGAAATATACCTGTTGTGTTTATATTCAACATATTTAGAAATGTATACAAGTGCATTATACAATACTGCTGATATATAATGAACTGATCCCATCTCCATACACTCTTAAGTCTATTACAAATGAATTTGTTGACATGAGCCAGTGAATAAAAAAGGATTATTGTCAGCAAATACATTAACTGTATTATTGAAATCCATACAAGCATACAAGAGTTCAGCTGGTACTCTGTAGTGTCTACAGACGAATGGAGGATGGTCGGACAGACATACTACTGCCCGTATAACCTCCCAAGTTCATTGGGGGGAGGGGGCGTTGGGGGGTAATGTTTATGTTACAGGAGTGAAAAAATGCCGGCCAGTCTGCGGATTGAACCCAGCCACTCCAGACACATGCTCTATACCTTCTGAGCTAACTCACTTGCGGATGATCAGCCCAGTCCAGTTCCACTACAATTACCTATTACTGAAGATGTTTAACAGAACTTATAATTAAAGGCTGTGGATTTTCCAACCCATTGCAACAATTTTTTTTTTAATCATACACAAAAATGAAAACATTTTTGTGCAAAACCGCTGCAAGAACATATGTACATGTGGTGAGCGATGATTTTCAATAAATTACGATATACTGATATAGCAATTTTTTTTCAAACATGAACGGTCTATACGATTCAATATTCATTTTGGACAATGCACACTGCAACAAAGGTGCCTAATTGGCTCCTACTTGTATTTAAGCAGTGGATTTGTGCCCTCTGGGGCTATAGAGGCAGGCCAAAAGGGCTAAATTTCGTAAATTCTTTAAATACCTACTTGTTCTTAAAACGACAGGATAATTTACTAGAACTGGGTTTTAAGCATACTCTGTTGTGAAGGGAAATAAATTCTCCATGATGACTGGCATAGGTCTACATCTGGAGGGGCAGGGTCCAAGAGGGATTTAAGTAAATCCCAAAGGACTTATGAATCCCCAATCAAGAACCATATATGCCTTAACTGGCTATCAAATAATGTGAACACATACAAGCATATACCTACATGTATGTTAAAAATTGACTGTTGGGTTTGGTCTCTATCCTTTGCAGAAATTTAATTTTTGAGCCATATATCTTTGAAATTTTTGAGATTCTGAACTTATTAATAACAATTCAGGCTGTCTTAACCTCTTATTCATATCAACTCCACTATATTTCAGATGCTGAAATTATGAAAAACATGGAAATGTATACAGAGACAGAACTGACAGCAGTTATTGCAAATCATCTGTTTGGCAAGTTGTCTACATCTTCATGTTTTACCATTGACAAGCAGTGCAAAGGCAAAGGTAGAGGACAAGGTGGAAGAGGCAGTAAGAAAACAAGTCCTTTATGCCCTTGTGAAAAGAATGATTGTGTACTGTCAGGAGATTTTGGAGATACAAGTATAGGTATGTTATCATGCAAAACAAACAGTTGAATGTTTCCAGCTGACACATCATTGTTGGCTTACATCCATCACAGTGTTTTTACGCCCACCAGCTTATAGTATTGTGCCAGAAAAAAGTGCTTGTGTAACGGATAACGGGAAAATTACGGATTAATTTGACTTCATCTTTGGAATATGTTGTCGCAAGGGGTTTAGACAGACACCTATTGATTTACAGTGCTGTATGATATGAGGTTGATTTTTAATTAATTTATTTTGGACAACCCTCTTCTTAAACCTCTTTGTATATATATATATATAAAAGGCTACACCGATGTTGAAATAGATGTGCTAAAAATAGTTCCACGTAGCCCTACACACATTTGTCGTCTGCTAGGCTTGCCTACATGTACCTAATGGTGTCTAACACGTGGTTTAAACCAGGGACTGTTGAGATAGTATTGATACATAGGTATAACTATAACAAAATGCATTATATACACTATGTGTTGTTATCTGAAGGTTAAAGATCTGAATTTCCTGTCCTGATTGTAACTGTGCTAAATTATATATATAGATCTACAGTCACATTTTTATTTTTCAAATCACCTTGCGTCCGTGGTCCGTCCGTCCGTGGTCCTGCTGTCCGTCTGTCATCCGTCCATCCGTAAATAATTCTTGTTACCGCTATTTCTGGGAAAGTACTTGATGGATCTTTTTCAAATTTTATATGCAAGTTCCCCTTGGTCCCTAATTGTGCATTTTACCTTTTTTGGGCTGATCCAAAATCAAGATGACTGACAGGCAGCCATCTTGGATTTTGAGAGTAAAACCTTGTTACCGCTATTTCAGAGGAAGTACTGGATGGATCCTTCTGATATTTCATAGGTATTTGTTTCCCTTGGTCTCTAGTTGAGCATGGTACCTTTTTTGGTCTGATTTGAAATCCAGGTGGCCCACAGGCACCCATCTTGGATGTCGACAGTAATACAGTAGTTTGTTATCGTCTTCCATATTCTATCATATTGATTCAAGACCATGTCCATTATCCACCTATGACTGACTGCTATCTGATAATACTTTGGGATCTTTTTCAAATGATATTTGCCAATAGGTGCTTAATAAAGATATCTTGTGTCATCATTGAGTACATTCAATGAAGACTAGTTCATGAACATTACAACACCTGCAGCAAACAAAAAAAAACAAAAAAAACCCAAATCTTCAAGAACTGAAAACAGATCCTCAAATGGTGGTTTGTAATCAGTTTTTGGACAACAACAGACTTTTTAATTACGCGGTTGTAACAGTGAGAGACTTGATATCTCTGTTATTTATTCTGAACAAGAAATCTCAGGTTATACATCATTTATTGCAATAAAAATAGTATTTATAGCTATAGGGATAGAACTGATATATGTAATTTAATTGTATATTAAGGTACATGTACACACCTTATTCCCCATACTAGGGCCAAAGGGCAGGGTTAGACTGTATTCCAGATTGAAGTTTAGAGTAAAAGTAATCTTTTAACCTGTCCATTTTCAATAGTTGGATGGAATTTTATATAAACTAGATTACCATAACTATTTTATCTAAATTGCCTAAACAATTGCCTTTAACAGCACCATACATGCTGTTTTCCGTCTGTAGAAAATAGGTGTCTTTTCTAGAAAGATATAGTGACTTCAGTTTTTCTAATCATTTTGGACATAACATAACCATGCTTTCCATAGTCCAGCTATTTGTTACTAAGTAATCTCTTAGTACCCAAACATGTAAGCTTTAGTTTGATGCTAGAGCACCTGGTCTGCGAGTCACACCAGGGAAAACAATATCATTAATGAGATAGAGGTCAACAAAGGCCTGGGACTGAAGTAGTGTCTCCAGCACCAATTAAATTTGTCGTTTTCCCCTACCAACATCTTATATCTAATAAAAATGGGTTGTTGACAAGTGTGTTATTGAATTTTAATTACAGGAATGAAATATGGTATTGATAAATGAGATTATATCTGGCAAATATTACGTTTACATTTTGGTTGAATATGGGAAATGTGAACAAATTTTGGAAAGCTTAAAGCAATTCATTTAGCATTGTTGCCATTACCGTATATTGATTGGTTGTGTTAACGTTATTTGTCAAAGTATTGGTGATCTATATATTGACCTCTGACACAACTTTCATTACTTGTGAAGTTGAGATATGTGCAAATGAAAAGTATGCCACATTGACAAGCATTGATGACCAATTTTACCTGTGACCTTTGATGACCTGTATATTGACCTTTGACACAACTTTCATTACTTGTGATATGTGCAAATGAAAAGTATGTTACATTGACAAGCATTGATGACCGATTTAATCGGTGACCTTTTGTGACCTATATATTGACCTATGACATAACTTGCCTTACTTGTGATATGTGCAAATGAAAAGTATGTCACATTGACAAGCATTAATGACCAATTTGACCCGTGACCTTTGGTGACCTGTATATTGACTTTTGACATAACTTTCCTTAGTTCTATTATGTGCAAATAAAAAGTATGCCACATTGATAGTTATCGATGACCGATTTGACCTGTAACCTTTGGTGACCTTTATGTTGACCTTTGACATATCTTGATTTAATTATGATATGTGCAAATAAAAAGTATGCCACATTGATAGGTATCGATGACCAGTTTGACCTGTGACCTTTGGTGACCTTTATATTGACCTTTGACATAACTTCCCTTACTATCCATGACCAGTTTGACCTGTGACCTTTGGTGACCTATATATTGACCTTTGACATAACTTTCCTTACTTGTGGTATGTGCAAATGAAAAGTATGTTACATTGACAAGCATTGATGACCGATTTGGCCTGTGACCTTTTGTGACCTATATATTGACCTTTGACACAACTTTCATTACTTGTGATATGTGCAAATGAAAATTTTGTTACATTGACAAGCATTGATGATCGATTTAACCTGTGACCTTTGGTGACCTATATATTGACCAATGACATAACTTACCATTTTTCTGATATGTGCAAATGAAAAGTATACCACACTGATAGGCATTGATGACCGATTTTGACCTGTGACCTTTAGTTACCTATATATTGACCTTTGATATAACTAGACGTTGTTCTGATATGTGCAAATGAAAAGTATGTTACATTGACAGGTATCCATGACCAGTTTGACCTGTGACCTTTGGTGACCTTCATGTTGACCTTTGACATATCTTGACTTAATTCTGATATGTGCAAATGAAAAGTATGCCACATTAACAAGTTTTCATGACCAGTTTGACCTGTGACCTTTGGTAACCGTTATATTGACCTTTGACATAACTTCCCTTACACATTTGTATAGGATACAAAATTAAGAAAATTTCACTCAAGACAATCAACATTCAGTAGTAATATGTGACTGATGATCATGAGTAACTTTTGTACAAGTCTTTATATGCCCGTCAAATGATGGGACGTATTATGGTATGGCGTTGTACGTCCGTCTGTCGTAAACTTTCCTTGTCCGGGCCATAACTTAATACCTCCTTGGTTTATGGTCACCATACTTTGTACACTTGTATATCTCAAGATGGCGGAGTCGCACGTATAAAAATCACCCGCCTCACATGCATAGTTACAGAATTATGCGCCCTTCTTTGATTTTTCATAAATTTTCCTTGTCCGGCCCATAACTTTATGACTCCTTGGTTTATGGTCACCATACTTTGTAAACTTGTATATCTCAAGATGGCAGAATGTCACTTATAAAAATCATCCGTCTTGCATGCATAGTTACAGAGTTATGCCCCCTTCTTTGGTTTTTTTGTAAATTTTCCTTGTTGACCAAATTATTGGACCAAATTTCAGGCGGGCGTATATGTACTGTTTATGGTTTGTTTATAAATAATATCCCATAGAGGTTTGATATTAGTGAAAATCCGTCGATATTAATGAAAATTGATGATTTCATTGTTTCCATCAAATAACTTTGAGCGTCGTTAATTCGGCCACCTCAGTTCTCAAGCAAAAATGTCCAGATAATGAAGCAGCTGGATAACTGAAGCAGGCCAAAACATTGGCCATAAGAGTTATGGCCCCTGGCAGCAGAAATATTACGTATATAGATCTATATGTTTACAGTATATATGTAGTATTAATATAGATATAACTGTATTTAACAATACGTTTGCCTATTTTTATGTAATCAATAAATACACATAATTATTACCATAAATATATTGCAGAAAAAATTTCATGATTTTGAAAATCCCGTCAAATAGGCCCACATCACACAGTAAACAGGGAAACCTTTGATTTTTACAGTGGACACATATTTTGAAAAATAGAAATGATAATATTCTGCATAGTTGTAGTTCGCACCATGCTTACACAGGTTTTTGATTATTCAACACATCAAAGATTTTAGTAGAGAATGCTAATATAATTTGAAGTATATTACATAAGAATTAGACTATCTGCTTACTAAATGTCAACCTTGCAAAATTGCTGGTCTTGTCGGTAGTAGTGTTGGGTAATTAGTTGTACCGATATCTTCATGCTTTACAATCTTAATCAATCGTTATAAAAAAATATGGATAGATATGCCATTAATTTCTACATCTTTTCAGCATTATTTCATTTACCCAGTCGCAGCCACAATCCCACACGATCATGTTCTGTTTCAGGACCTACATTACAGAATGGCCAGTGTTTCGTATGTCATTCAGCATTTAAAAAATCAAAACTTTGAAATATTTTAGAATCGATTGGTATATAAATAAACAAATTATATGAATCTAATTGAATATAACATGATACGTAGACATCGGTAAAACACATAAGTAGCAGGTCGCTGTATTATTTATACGGTCGCAATCGTAAAACAATTTCATCTCAAGATATATAAGCTAAGTGAAATTGAATTGATTAACCTAGAGTTTTAAAGATGGACTTTTAACTTTCATTGCCGCAACTTGATGTGTTTCATTAGTGAACAAACAATTTAATTACCCTGATTATGTTTCTAACCATTCACCTCATTGTGTGTATTGAGTGTACATTTGTGTAGTGTCAACGATTTTTGCTGGCGGCATGATATGTCTAGTTGACTGGCCGGTTAGCCCCATCCACTTGTTCAGCCAGCCGAATAAGAGAGGCGTTTTATATAGCAAAATGACAATCTGTTTGTAAATTTACCGGCTGGAGAGGGATGATGAGGGAACCAGATTAATGGGACAAATTAACGTAAGGAAAATATGTTCTTTTGTTGGATAGCAGGGGGAATGGATTAACAGCAACTGGATTAATAGGGCTCGACTGTATTTTTCAACAGATTGCAACCAAATTTAGCTTGCTGCTATATATCAATAACATCTTGCATGAGTTTGATAATCTGTCATTATTCACTGGAGTTATGGGACTTGAAAATGCATCTTTGAAATAGCTATTCATTAGGGTCATAGTATATTTACAAACAAATCTTGTTTGAGATTATGAACCTATATCCAGGTGAGTGATACAGATCTTCTGGGTCTCTTGTTTGTTCATTGCATAAGTGTTCAGATGTGTCTTACTTTTGGTTTCTATTCTCAGACTTCCGGGGGTTTCCCTGTGTAAGAGCTTCATACGACATTAGTGACATTCCCAGTCAGCATGAGATCGACCTTGACCTGAGAACAATGCCTTATTCCATCAATGCCGAGCTAGCCCAAATTTTTGGCACATGTCCGAACTTTTAACAATCAAGCCAACTTTGGGGTGGATATCATTAGTTTACAGGCATTTATGGCAGAAAGACAACCTCAAGTGGACAATGCAGTTTTCTGGCAGATGCCACTATCGAGAACGTCGAACGAAGCCATATTGGATTATTGTGGCCTCCTTTTTCTCCTTCATCTTCATGCATTAGTTATGCAAATGCGAGGGAGTGTTATCTATCCCAGTGTTCACGCATTTTTATCACCATTTCTATTGGGAATGTGATTATACATGAACTACAAAGTCAGTTATTTGTACAAAACCAATTGATTCTTCAGATTCTTAATTATATATGACCTGATGACGGCCCAATTTGGGACTTCAATACCTTTGACACATAGTCAGATAGCTTCAGCGACTGTGTTGCGATGTGATTATGAGGATCATTCTATCACAGTTGAGCTGACAACGGTGGCAGACATTACAAACTTAGTACGTGATGCCCACTGCCCTTCACTAAAGTTCAGAACCTGCCCATAGGAGTATACTGATTTTTTCATTATTCGCTCGAAAGACTGAATCACATGATTCTGACATCATCTCAATTGAACCCTGAGTAGAAGTTCATTTCATGGAATTTATATCCAATTTCTCTTTCAACTGGAAAATTCATTTAATTTCCAGTTACTGTATAGCACTTTAAATTCGCAGGGTCAATATTTTGCATTTTCGTTAACGGGAACATATTAGCGGGGGCTTAATTTCGCTGTGCACCCGTTTCCTATATTCATTTCATGGATACCTTAGCAACAATATAATTTTATAACAGCATCATTTCCATTTACTGTGCAAGGTTTTTAGTCAGAGTGAATCAGTTTCGAAAACTTGTACACAGTCAAAGAGTGTATGAGTATGCTTACGCTGCCCCGGCCGTCGTCATGTACCGGTGAATTTACACTCAAAAGAATTCAAAGAACACTTGACACTTGCTCAATAGAGAGCTCTGTATCTTGGGTATTAACTACTTTGGTTAATTGTTTCATTCATTTATTAATTTAATTAGGCAGAGGAGGCAGTTACATGTGTTCACCAGTAAAAACTTTAGACCAGTATTTACCTCAGGTTGGGATTGTTAGTTCCACTTGAGTGAGCTCTGGACAGCCACTCAATACATGTCTGTTTAAGAAAGTATCCACCCTTCAGCATTTTGACGCCTCTTGACATGTCTGTTTTTTGTTTTCTCTGCATCTATTTTTAGAACTACATGTATGTAACAGGCAAATATTAAATGCAAACCTACTGGAAGTAGTCTTGTCATGGTTTCAAGTGGTCTTTCAGGATTGAAAATGCCATCTATTTGCCGCCATTTCTTTGCGGGGTTATATAAACAACTTAAAAATAAAGGTCAAAGGGACCTGTTTTTGTAAGCTTGTAAATTGAATGGACATATTATCATATGGCATTGTCCATCCTTTGAGTTATAGTCCTTGTCTGCTTCATGAAATTCTGTTTGTATGAATATCTCCTACAGTTTTCAACCAATTTCTTTCAAACTTAAGCTTGGTAGGCTTTATCACCATGACATGAAGTTGTGTTTTCCTGAATCACACTTTGATTCAACATTATTTAGAATAGTAATGCCCCTTGTCTATTTCATATTATTAAATTTGTCTGAAGATCTCCAACTTACAACTTTCAAGCCATTTCTAAATGTCATTGCACTGATAAATGTTTTGTTAAGACATGATGAAGCACAGTTGATCAAACTTTAAGGAGAGGTGAGCTGATCAAACATCTGCACACTAATGTCAATGGGAAAAGGTCAAAGTCAAATTTCTCTGACACTTCATTGGGTTATCCTGCAGTTGCAAGGGAAAAGGTAACTCTGTCTCACACAGGGTAGGGAAAGACAGCTCACACGCGCTATGACGTCATAATAATCGTCGTGGATGTGACGTCATTGCTTTTTGGGAATTGGAAATCCTCTTCTGAATGGTTTTGGCGTAAGAATAAAATCAACGTTTATTTTAAGTATAGTTGATTTATTTGTAAGTATGGGAGAAAAATAATTAAACATGGGTCCATGCCGTGGACAGAGATATCTCAACCCTCGTGTAAGAGTTTGGCTGACCAGCACTCGGCAAGCCTCGTGCTGGACATCCAAACCCTTACACTCGGGTTGAAATATCTCTGTCCACGGCATAGACCCATGTAAGATTCTATTAATCTTTACAGTGATAAACATTCTGTTAAGATAAAGCAAATTTGCTTGGAATTAAACAAGGACTCCAGAGTGAGTATCATTAGGGCTCCATAAAATGCAACTGCCCAATATATATAGCAGTTACAGTGTATGTCTGTCCATCAGCATTTTTGTTTCCAGACAATGTCAAAGAAACCAGTAGGCCAGATTTTCTAAAACTTAATATGATGTCAAACTGTTATGTGAAGATGTGAGAGAGGTGTTTAGAAGTTCCAAAGGTCAGATCAAAGTAACTTGCTTAAAACAAAACTGGATATATTATTTCATAAACACGTTATATCCAGCAGCCTTACAAAGGGCCAAATTCTTTGAAACATTGACTGCCAGGTGTATAGCAGGGAAACTTTTTCTGAGTAACCAAAAAGCCCAGGTCCCAACAGTTTAATGAATATTCCTTAATTTAAGGAAATCTTAACTCCCATTGAAAAGCATTACATAAGCTAAAGAGAACTTTAAATTTAAATTTCCTGAAATTATATATGTGTAATGGTTTGCTATTTCTTTAAGTTGAGGAATCGGATTCATGAAACAGGAGCCAGGATGACAATATTTCACTTGTAGCATGCTGTAATAAAGTGTTACCATGTTTTTCAAATTAATGACCTTCATCCATATTCATGGTCACAGAGCTCAAATATACAATTGTAAGCAGCTTATGATGAATAACCAAGAGATATATAGTGTGATGATATTTGACCACCAATATACTGGTATGGAGCACAAGTCTGCTATATAAATGACCTTTTCTGCATTCAAGGTCTCTCCTAACTCCAAAAAAAATGTTTTCTCTTAATTCTAATAGAGCAAATGAACAATAAAGGTTATTGGGCCTCTTGATGGGTCACATAGGAACATTGCTTTGGAAGTGTAAATATACTATTTGCAAATTTGATTCTTGTAAGATTTATATTTTGTTTTGCAGGAAACTGGATGGTTTGGCATGGAAATGTAAATGTAATAATCAACAATGAAGTTGTCATAGGATCCCAAGATGTTGAAGAAAAGGACTGCAGTCCTGGTGGGAAATCTCCAGTGGAAGTGAAACTTAAAAGTAACTCCTTGTCAAGAAATCCTCAGGTTATTGCCCAAAACATTGTTTTTTCATTCCTCCAAAAGCATAGACATCCTGAAAGTGAAAATTTCCTTTTTCCATGTATTGGAGTTACAGGTAAAGATATGATTGTATACTTTTATGATTCAATGCATGATGTGCTTCTTGAAAGCACATTGATTCCATTACATGGCATGATTCCATCTGCTGTTAGCAATATCAACTTAGTAGCAATTGTTGTATCATGGCTGGTTGTCAACTATAAGTACCTATGTGATGGTGTCATGGAAGAGATGAAAACAATGAAAGCAGAGTTTTTTTCACAAGCTGAAGCAAAGTTAGCTGTTTACAAATTTGACCTAAAGGCCGGTGAAGTGGGAAATTCTTGTCCTGTGGATGATTCTCAAGACAAAGTGAAAAATGTTCATCACCCATTTCTGATGGATTTGAAGAAAAGAAAGAGAATGGTTGTTCTGGATCCCAGCGAGAGATAACATTTCACTATTGTAGAAAAAACATGTGCAACATAAGAACTTACATGGCATTACTGTACCTAAAGCCATCCTTATTGGAGACCAGCTTTATTGGTGTTATTGTGTGATAAAAGTTCCTCATCTTAGCTCTACCAAGACATGAGAAATGTGTTCGATTGTGACATTTATAGAGGATCTTATGAGTGTCTATTTGACATGAAATTTATGAAATGAGTTCAACAAGCCTGTAGGCAAGGTGTTATATACAATGAGTTAAATTAGTTCCTATTACATTGGCTTATTTTAGCTTACCTGACCCAAAGTGTTATGTGAGCCTTTGTATAATGCATGGCACAATATCCGTCATTAGTCTGTCAACGTTTCCCTCTAGAACTCTCTTGTCCTTATAACAACTTTGGCCTAGAGTATCATTTGCCAGATTAATTTCTAAATTTGTATCAAAAGATATTTGGTCAAAAGTTTCCTTGGATGAAGTCCAACTGATTGTCTGTGGTTCATCTGATACAGACTGATTGTCTGTGAGTCATCTGATACAGACTGTTTTTCTGTTGTTCATGTGATACAGACTGTTTCTGTGAGTCATCTGATACAGACTGTTTCTGTGAGTCATCTGATACAGACTGATTGTCTGTGGTTCATGTGATACAGACTGATTGTCTGTGAGTCATCTTATACCAACTAATTGTCTGTGGTTCATGTGATACAGACTGTTTCTGTGAGTCATCTGATACAGACTGTTTTTCTGTTGTTCATGTGATACAGACTGTTTCTGTTGTTCATGTGATACAGACTGTTTCTGTGGTTCATCTGATACAGACTGATTGTCTGTGAGTCATCTTATACCTACTATAATTGTCTGTGTGTCATCTGATACAGACTGATTGTCTGTGGTTCATCTGATGCAAACTAATTGTCTGTGGTTCACGTGATACAGACTGTTTCTGTGGTTCATCTGATACAGACTGATTGTCTGTGAGTCATCTTATACCTACTATAATTGTCTGTGTGTCATCTGATACAGACTGATTGTCTGTGGTTCATCTGATGCAAACTAATTGTCTGTGGTTCATGTGATACAGACTGTTTGTCTGTGATTCATCTGATAATGACTGATTGTTAGTGAGTTCCCATCATCAGAAGAAATATTTGCGAGATCTGGTAAGAAAGCAGCAGTATCAAATCGAGTATCATTTTATTCAATTCCAATCAAATTTTTGTTATATTTGCAAGAGGTTAGGAGTTTACCGTCGTTTATCAGAAACCGAATGTGATCTTATGGCGATAGTGCCTTGCTGTGGCGAACTGATACATAGGCATTGCACCTCTACATTCAGGACAAAAGAAAAATGTCCAAAATGCACAACTTGTTTAGAGGATGGAACACCCATTCAAGAAGATGAAGATCTTGGTACAGTCATTCTTCGGCAAAATATAAGAAAGCAAAATGGTATCGCTTTTGACTTGGTCCTCCCTTTACTAGTTTCAAAGCCAAAAAATAGTGCACAGGTTTTAAAATTACTTTTTATGTTATATCTAAAATATATACACCTTTACCATAACTTTCTCATTTAGTTACATAATTGATACTGACTGTTATAGCATATATACATTACTTGAATTTTTTGATTAAAAAGTAATCTTGGCTGATTTTTAATGCAATTAATGATTTTTGATGGAGAGCACAAGATCTTGTACATGTCAGAATCTACAAATTCCTGCCCTCATCCATAGGAAAAGTATAAGTATCCACAGACTTCAGTGTTTTTCTTTTAGGAAAGCTTCTTCTCCTATATTCTAAGGAACTATTCTTTTCTAAAACTATTATGTATGTCAGACTTTAAAAAAATCCTCTTCACTTCATATGATGTAGATTTTGAAGAGAAAAAATGATAAAGTGTGACATTTTCTTATGTCTATATATTTTGACAACTGAACTGTATATATCAAAACATGTCTCAGCTTTGTCTTTTTCAGATGGGGATTTCATGGAAAGTTTAGCAAAGTGCAAACCCCATTGTAAAATAGACCTGACAACATAAGAATTAATGAAAAAACAATATCTGTTTAGTATCAGCCACAATCCCTTTTATTTACAAATATTCATGCACTGGGGGTATAGGCAAAAGCCACGCTTTGTTCATTGTGTTCATTTTTAATGTAGTGTAAATGTTTATTGAAGATGAATAAAATTTTGATTTTGAATAATACAAAGCAATATTTGTGGTTATTTGGGAAATTGTGAAAGCCTGCAAAACTTTGATGAGTTTGATCAGGGTCTGTTTGTCAATGAGATCTCTGAGTCATTTGAAGTCTTTTCAGCACAACATCATCACTGATCAAATCAACCTTTTCCTGTGGTCTGTCGTCCATCTGTAAACTGTCATATTGTTATTTCTTGACAACTCGCTGTAGTGACCAGTCTAAAACTGTAAATGTAGCATTCGCTTCGTGTCAAGCTTTGCAAGTGAATAACAACACTGACACTGTATATATGAATGTTTTACAAGACTGACACTATATTTACATGCATTACAAAAATGACACAATATTTAAGTATATTACAAGACTGATGCTATGTTGATGTGCATTACAAGACTGACGCTATATTGATGTGCATTACAAGACTGACACTATATTTATACGCATTACAAGACTGACACTATATTTACATGCATTACAAAAATGACACAATATTTAAGTATATTACAAGACTGATGCTATGTTGATGTGCATTACAAGACTGACGCTATATTGATGTGCATTACAAGACTGACACTATGTTGATGTGCATTACAAGACTGACACTATGTTGATGTGCATTACAAGACTGACGCTATATTGATGTGCATTACAAGACTGACACTATATTTATACGCATTACAAGACTGACACTATATTTACATGCATTACAAAAATGACACAATATTTAAGTATATTACAAGACTGATGCTATGTTGATGTGCATTACAAGACTGACGCTATATTGATGTGCATTACAAGACTGACACTATGTTGATGTGCATTACAAGACTGACACTATGTTGATGTGCATTACAAGACTGACATTATATTGATGTGCATTACAAGACTGACACTATGTTGATGTGCATTACAAGACTGACATTATATTGATGTGCATTACAAGACTGACACTATATTGATGTGCATTACAAGACTGACACTATGTTGATGTGCATTACAAGACTGACACTATATTTATACGCATTACAAGACTGACGCTATGTTGATGTGCATTACAAGACTGACGCTATGTTGATGTGCATTACAAGACTGACACTATATTTATACGCATTACAAGACTGACGCTATGTTGATGTGCATTACAAGACTGACACTATGTTGATGTGCATTACAAGAATGACACAATATTTAAGGATGGATAATATGATGTGTGATAGGTGATATGACATGTGATGGATGATATGATGTGATGGGTGATATGACGTGTGATGGGTGATATGATGTGTGATGGGTGATATGACATTTGGAGGATGATAGGATGTATGATGAGTGATATTACATGTGATGGATGATAGGATGTATGATGAGTGATCTTACATGTGATGGATGATAAGGTGTGCGATGAATATTACATGTGATGGGTGATATGATGTGTGATGGGTGATATGACATGTAATAGATGATATGATGTGTGATGGGTGATATGACATTTGGAGGATGATAGGATGTGTGATGGTTGATATGACATGTAATAGATCATATGATGTGTGATGGGTGATATGACATGTAATAGATGATATGATGTGTGATGGGTGATATGACATTTGGAGGATGATAGGATGTGTGATGGGTGATATTACATGTGGAGGATGATGTGATGGGTGATAGGTAATATTACATGTGATGGATATGATGTGTGATGGGTGATATGACATGTGATGGATGATAGGATGTGTGACAATTACTAATTGTAATAGGAACCATTACAAATGTTCCCCAAACGACCCTTTCAGCAGTAAATAATCACAATAATCAGACCTGCAGTCACGCCAAACATGAACCAGCTGACCGCTCAGATGACCGATTGGAAAAATTCAAGTGGCCTGCACTCCGCCTCGCATGTATGAATATGTGTGTAAAGTTTTGTTAAATTCCATGCAATTGTTTTTGAGAAGAAAGTGGAAGAAATAATAATAATAAGAAGAAGAAGAAACGGAGCAAACACAATATGTCCCCCCCCCCCACCCCCTCTTTGTTTTGGGGATATAATTAAAATCCATCCATCTTCTCTCAAATTATTGAAACCAACATCCGGACAAACAGACAGACAGATGGAGTCCTCTACGGTATCACCAATAGGGTACTAAAAAAGGCCATTTCCAGTACCCACTTTCAGTCAGCTGATGACACCATACATGCAGTTGAGGACTTTGTGAATGGTCAAGAAAAGGACTTCTTTAAAAGTAGCATCGAAGCCTTTAAACATATCGCTGGCAAAAGTGTTTAGATACTGAAGGGGATTACCTGGTATGTTGAAATATAATGCAATATGTTCACCAAAAGCCAAACCATGAAATATGAGGATCACAACTTATCAATCAGTCCTGGTAGGTATCTAGTGACCAGAAATATTGGATGATATAGCATTATAGGTTGTTTATAATGCAGAAAACAAGTGCAATAAATGATTGGCAAGCTTAACATTGGTAGCTGCTGCAAAATGGCAAAATTTCTGTTACTTATTAGGATATAAATTCACAATTTGCTTTCAACACTAAAACATATTTATGATTTGCTTGTGAACTTGATTCAAATTTCAGAAGAGCTCTCAAAACCCTTCAATTTGATTTAAGAACAATTAAATTAAAATATGTGAATATTCAGAAAAAAATTCCCAGTATTCACAAGAATCAATTGTCATTTTATCACATCTAGATCTATAATGACTCTATACATGAAGTCAGAAGGGTATGGGAAGTATATGTATAGACTGGGAAGATTTTGAAAAACAAGAGGCCCAATGGCCTTAACGGTCATCTGACTACCACATCACAGAGATTTTAAAAGTGAAAATATCCCTTTCATTGCATCATACTTCAGGCTAAACCTTTATCCTGCATTTCCATCAGAAGAAAAAGGATTTTAAAGAATTCAATAAGTTTTTCCTAATGAATCCTGCCTCTCTGGTCAGTAGGGGTACAGACCCAGTTTCTACATTTAGTCAGCCTTTTAAATAAGCATGCTTGAGACCAAATATGAACTATATCCTACGATTCCTTCAGGAGAAGCAGGATTTAAAAAAAATATATTATAATTTATTAAGTTTCCTCTTTTGAACCCCGCCCCTCTGGCCCCTTGGGGCTATGACCCACAGTTTATACAAAATTGAGTCCCCTTGTTCTAAGCATCTTGCAGACCAAATATGAATCCTTTCCTTCAATTCCTTCAGGAGAAGTAAGATTTTAAATACTTTGCTTAATTTCCCCTTTTGGGCCCTTCCCCTCTGACCCCTAGGGGCCCGGACCCACCATTTATACAAAATTGAATCCCATTCACCTAAACATGATTCTGGCCACATATGAACCATATCCTGCAATTCCTTCTGAAGAAGTAGGATTTCAAATAACTTATTAAGAATTGACTAAGTTTCCCCTATTGGGCCCCGCCCTTCTGCCCCTAGTGGTCAAATAAAAATTCCAAATTTAAGGATTATATGTCTTCTCTCAATCATGCATCAGAAAAAGGTTGGAAGATTCACAGAAGAAAGAAGAAGTAGCATTTTAAAGCTTAATTTCAGCTAATTCCTCCCTTTGGGGCCTTGCCCCTTGGCCCCTAGGGGTCAAATCAAAATTCTGAATATAAGAATTGATCACCCCCAGCCAATAATGCATCTCACCAAAAGATGGTTGAAATCCCACAAGGAATGAAGGAGCAGTAGCATTTCAAAGCTTATTTGATTATTTCTCCCTTTGGGGCCCCGCCCCTCGGGACCTAGGGGTCAAATCAAAATTCTGAATAAAAGAATTGATCACCCCCAGCCAATAATGTATCTCACTAAATCTTGTTGAAATCCCACAAGGAATGAAGGAGAAATAGCATTTCAAAGCTTATTTGATTATTTCCCCATTTGGGACCCCCCCCCCCCCCCCTCGGGACCTAGGGGTCAAATCAAATTCTGAATAGAAGAATTTTTTTTTTATAATTTTTTATTTTTCAAGATTTTACATGTTGAACAGGACAAATACACTCACACCCTCTCACACATCCAACCACAGGTGCACATATAGTCATTGCGTGTCAAACAAGAACACTCCATTCAAAAGAATCATCAACATCATCATCAACATTCAACAATGCACGTGATCATTATTATTATTATTATTATTATCACCATACATGATAATCCTCATATATCACAATCAATATTATTATGTTACACACTAAATAATGCATCATCATCATCATCATCCTCAAAAACATTATAATCTTCCTCATCAACCATTTCAACATATATATCACAATCAATATTACTATCATGATTATTGTACATACTAAATAATGCATCATCATCATCCACATTCAACAATTCATCATCATCATCAAATCAAGATTCATACTTTCATAACCATTATGAAACCTTATGATTCATAAATATCACAGTAAACTTTTGTTTGAAATGCACCCATGCACACATGCATAAACACACACACAACCATAAATTGACATCAACATACAGAAATGAAGAAATGAAATAGAACTTTATTAGGGATGAGAAATTTAAAGAGAAAGAAATTGAAGAAAATGAAGAAATAGTAAAGTGGATTGTTGGGTGAGATGGTAAAATAGGTTAGAGTAATTTAATCTTTTAATGTTTTTCTTTCTTTATATCTGATTACTCAGTATGGTCAAGGACTGTTATGTATATAATTATAAAAAATTATAAAAAAAAAATAGGAAAAAAGAAAAACTAGTAATGCGATGGGTAATAGATCAAAGTGTGTAGATCAAAACTGTATTAATTTTTCCAATTTTTTCCATTCATTCTCAAATTTACCTTTTACTTTATCATCCTTACCATTAGCTATATATTCTTTTGTATCATATAATTATCTTTGATTGTATTAATTAGTGCATGCAAGTTTAGTGAACGGTGTAAGCATCTCATTTTATAAATATACTGTTTAATAATAATTATAATCTCATTGTCTACTCTGTTACACGGAAGGAAGTTTTGATGTAGGACACCAAAAATGAAAGTTTGCTTGTTTACTGAGAAAGGGGTAAATAGAGCTTCTAACAAAATATCAAGACTCTGTAATAGTCTTTGTACTTCCTGACATTCCCACAGCAGATGACTGATTGTTTCGCGCTCGGAGTTACACAACACACAAAGAGGGGAGATAACTAATCTAATTTTAAAAAGAAGGGAATTTGTTGCTAATGCATGGTGGATTACCCTATACTGGAACCACTGGAACTTTGTATTTTTTGTTACATGGAATGGCATTAAATAGTACTTATCCCAAGTTTGTTTATCTATATTATCAAATATACTATTCCATTTTTTGGTACCCGATGGTAACACGTTACATTTAATTAGAGTATTATAAAACCTTTTTGACCCTTTTTTGTCTTGAAGAAAGATACGTAAGGTGATTGGTATGCAAGGATAGATTATAGAGGGGTTAGAGATAGTATCTGATGCAATAAATTTTTTGACTGCTGAGACGAGACCCTGGTATTGTAAAAAATTTGTATATATTTGATATTTTCGAATAAATTCTTCCCTTCCATAGAAAACACATCTGTTGGTATCTTTGATTAAATTAGCTATAATAGTTATATTCTTCTTAACCAACTCTCATAAAATACTGTTTTACTTCCTATCTTTATTTTATTGTTATACCAAATTGGGACAGATAATATATTACTCTGAAATAGCTTATCCTCATATTTTGTGTTAAGTGTACCCCAAGCTTTGAAAACATCACACCAAAATTTGTTTTTGCACTTTTTTATGCATAAATGAATATAATTGTAACCACAGTTTGCAAGAAGGTCAGTGTCAATATAGGTTTTTAGAATTATCTGCCATTTGTCAGTACTGCGATAGAGTCTCCTTATCCAAGTCAGTTTCAATGCATTTATAAAAGCTACAAGATTGACCATCTTAAGACCACCATTAGCATAGTTTTGCATAATTGTATCCCGTTTGATTTTATCTGGTCTTCCATCCCATAGAAAGTCAAAAAGTAGAGAGTTGAGTTTGAACAGAAACTTCTCATCTGGTTTAGGTAATGAAATAAAGAGATGATTAAATTGTGATATAAGCAACGACTTTATACTGTTTATTTTTCCTATTGGAGTTAATGATCTTCTATTCCATATTTTTATTAGCGATTTCAGTTTAGTGAGTTTTTTATCAAAGTTTAGTTTCGGTATTTCATGTAGATTCACACTAAAATCAACTCCTAATAATGTAAATCTTTCTTTGCCCCACTGTAGGTTAAGTTCAGGTAAAAGTTTATCCTCACTATATTTTTTACTTCCAATCCATATTACCTGAGTTTTATCAATATTCATTTTTAATCCAGAAATATTTGCAAATTCATTAAGCTCTCTGATGGATTCTTTTAGTGATTTTTCAGACCCATCGAGGATAAGCAAAGTATCATCAGCATACTGAGATAGTAATATAGGACAGTTTTCAACTTCAACAGCAATGATATTTCTATTGTTTCTTAACTTTATTGCCAAAACCTCAGCACAGAGAATAAACATATACGGTGCGACCGGGTCCCCCTGTTGGCAGCCCCTCTTAATATCAAAGAAAGAAGATAGATTCCCCCCCTGATTTACAGCTGACTGTGTTTTATTATGTAATGTTTTAAACCAGTGAATTATGCTTTTATCAAAACCAAAAAGAAGTAGAACTTTTTCTATGAATAGCCAAGACACAGAATCAAATGCTTTCTGAAAAACAATCATTAATAACATTCCTGGTATATCCTTTTTCTCAGTGTATTGCATAATGTCATAAATCAATCATATGTTAACCCCTATAACACACGCCCTTAATAGAAAAATTGATAACCCCGGCCAATAATGCATCTTACCTAATCTTGATGAAATCCCACCAGGAATGAAGAAGTAGTAGAAGGGATCAAATCAAAATTCTGAATAGAAGAATTGATAGCCCTCCCCCACACATGACGCACGACGATGGACGACGCATGATGGCTATAGGTCATCTTGACCCTTTGGGGCAGATGACTTAAAAACTTAAAAGGATTTATGATCCACTTTCCCTAATCATTTGTATTCAGCATTCAGGTATCGTTCATATTTGGATCTACAGGCTTTATGGGGTGTGCATGGACATACTTCCATGGCGATTCTACAGGTAATTGCGAAACAAAATTTGCTTTTGTTTTTGCCTCTCTATAATACTTCAGATACTTTGCATGTAATCCTGACTTATCAATATCTAATGCAAATGCAGCTGCCATTTTTCTCCGAGTTAAAACAGTGAAATTCAAGAAAAGCCAAAGGAGAATTATGGTCAATTCATTTAGTTTGTTTTTAGTACCTGGATACCATAACTTGTAGTCTTCCCTAATGTGCAGTAAGCAGTCACTTTCAGGATCATAGAGACAAATAGAAATACGATCAGATGTGGCTCCAATAGTTGGAATGAAGAAACCTGATAGAGTAGTTTTGTTCCTGTTAACTTGAGCAAATCCATTTGTTATAGCTTCAGCCAAGATTTGCTCTAAAACTTTTGGGTCTAGGAGAACACACTGATCATGTCTCTTGTTGCATTTCACTTCTATACAAATATTGCAACTCTTGTCATTAGTTTCAACCTTTCTTTGTTTTCTTTGAGGTTCATCATCATCATCATCATCATCATCATCATCATCATCATCATCATCATCTTCTTCTTCTTCTTTAATGCCATCTGTTTGTTTCTTCCCCACTGCCACAGCAATTGTATGGTTCACCATTATATCAACTCTGCCATGCCATGTTCTCTCTGATCCTGATTGACAAATAAACACAGATCTGTACTGTTATAACAGCCTAAAACACAGAATGAGAAAACATGATTCAATATCCATGAGGTTTGAAAAAAAAAAATCAAATGGGCACATCTACGGACCAGTACATGTTAAGTTTGAGAACAATGGTCATCTGACTACAAAGACAGAGGCAAGATAGGTCTAAAATAACTTGCTCAATTACTCTTCAGCTAAAGTAGCAGACATTGTTGGTTCATCAAGACATTTTCTTGAAATCATACTCTTTATACATGCACTACACAATCACCATTACTCTGGCATATTACTTGTTGAATAAGCAAGCTACAAGCTCAGTATCAAGACTTTTGGCCTTTCTGTTATTGAAAGGAAGCAATCCAACACATTTGACCCCTAGGGCCTTGAAAGTTGGTCCAATATCAGCACCATGGGCCTTTTAGTTTTTAAGACGGAGTGATTTAATCATTTTAATATGTATGATACTTGTGACCTTTCAAGTAGATCAAGGTCATTCCCATTAAGTAAGGATTGAATCAACTTTCTGAATTTAAGAAATGACTTCCCACTCTGCATGACGGTTTAGATTAAATTTGGTTGAAATCCATTCAATCATTAAGAAAGGTAAGAATTTTTAAGCAAAATATTGACTAACTTTCCCATTTTGGGCTGTACTCACCTCCAAGTCCCTAGGGGTTACATCAAGTCTCCAAATTATAGAAATGATTCTCCACTCTCAATGTTCTTTCGGACCAAATTTAGTTGAAATCCATTTAAAGGATTGAAAAAAAGTAGCATTTTGAAGCATATTGTCTAACATCCCCTTTTGTGGCCTCACCCTTAGTCATCAGGGATTGATTTCTGAATGTGACTAATGATTTCCCACTATCAGTGATGTTTCAGACCAAATTTGACTGAAATCCATTAAAGCATTAAGGAAGAGTAGCGTTCTGAAGAAAATATTGTCTAACTTAACATTTTGGGACCACGCCCAAAAGTCCCTAGAGGTTGAATCAACTTTCTGAATTTAAGATAACCCACCTACATGGATGTCTCACACCAAATTTGATTGATTATCCTCACCCAATTACATTTTACACCAAATGTGTTAAGGAAGAGTAGCATTTTGAAGCAAAACGTTGTCTTGTATTCTTCTCTTGGGCCCCTGTACCCGAGCACTTTGGGGTCAAATCAAATTTCTGAATATAAGAATTATTTGCCAAACCCTACTGACGAAATTGGAATGAAATCAATTCAAGCATTAAGGAAGAGTAACATTCTGAAGCAAAATAATGTCCAATTACTACATTTGGGCCCCATCCCCAGGTCCCTAGGGGTCAGATAAAATTTCTGAATTGACAATCCCCCACCCCAATGATGTTTCAGACCAAATTTCATTGAAATCTGCTAACGCTTTAGGCAGGAGCAGTGTTTGACAGGAAAAGTTCACTAACAGCGGATGGCGGACGAGAACAGATGATGCACAAAAGCAATAGGTCATCTTGACCCTTTAGGTTAGATGACCTAAATATCCTTCTAGTACCCATCAAGAAATAATAATAACAAACTTCATCTAGCAAAATAAAAGATATAGTCTCCTTGGGGTAATTTTGTTTTCCGGATTTGGCTCACAAGGACCAAAGGGAACTACATTTTCTAATGCATACAAGACCTTCTATTCCAAGAGTTATATCCCAACCAGTTCTCTGGGCCTCTTGGTCATAAAGAGGAAATCTTTAACAGATTTTGGCTTATTTGACCCCTTTGACCTTATATGTTGGTCACGGTGATTCATTAAACATGTTAACCCATTACCCCAGCATGCTATGGGCCTGATATCTGATAATTGGGATTTTTTTGTCATTGAGAAGTTGAAAATGTCATTTGTTTACAACCGGGCGATGGACAATTGCAATAAATCACTGTAAAGTTACAAAATTTGTTTTAAGTTTTTAACTGATAATACAGGTAAATAAGGCAGGTAAAATATGGTACAAACAGCTTTAATTTGTAAGCACACTTTTGATATTTACCTAATTTTGGAGTCCCTTTTAGGCACAAAGCTCTATTTCAGGTCACGTCTTTAATTATGGGTCTCTCATTTTTATTCTTTTTTAAATAACTAAAGTCTGTAGTAGCTGGTATTAAATCAACTCAACAGGCAAATAAGTGAATTTGGTCAAAATTCATTCAGTTGTTCATAACTAGTGGCAGTTTATAGGAAAGGTTGACAACACAGACGCTTAGCAACAGTATATTAGTTCCCAAGTCGTTCAAACCTGGTGAGCTATCAAACTTAGTAGACTTTAATCCTAGTGTGCTACAGGACCAAGATCAAAACCCTGGGCATTTTGGTTAAATGCAAATACATTATTCAGAATTTGTAACACATCTCATTTGATTTCAGTTCTACATGTAAGATTTCTGTCCAATAACAAAATCAAATTGATCCTACCTACTGAGGTGTCTCCTGCACAAATCTTGGCCTTACAGCCACAGCCACATTCTTTTGGAAGCTGCTTTGCATATTTATCAACCTCATACTCCTTGCCTGGCACCAATTGAGAAAACAGATGATGAGCCAATCCAGCCATAATTTGTGTTTCTGTATTTCCACTTGTTTGAAGAGAAGCTTTGGCTACAAGTTTATGAATTGCTTCTTCATGTTTTTTTTTCTCTGGAAAATAAAGACAAAACTGAAAGTAGTGAAAGGCCATCATCACTTACCTTGTATTCAATGGTTTTCACAACATAATATGGCTGACAATTAGGAAGCAAATGATGAAAATCTATATATAATAACAGTGATCAATCTACAGTTTATTTTCATGGGTCCTTTTCAGCTGCTTTGCTAAAAGCAATGGGTCCTACAATGTTAAATTGAAGTATTTCCGGAAATTCTGTGGATCCTTTCAAAATTCTGAGTATAGGACTCGGGTGCGCATGTAGATTTATCACTGTAATAAATATATTAAGTTCCCATGATAAGTATTATGTAAGATAAGGATTATCTTTGATGTAGGTCAAACATTAAAATGTAAGTCAGAGTGACCTAATTTTGATACTTCACACATAGTCTCACATGATTTGTGGTGATCATCGAACATAATGCAAAACAAGATAACACAAAGCCTGAAAATATCCCCTGTGTGGCCCATCTGTTTCCATGGCAGTAGAAAAAATATTCAAATTGAGAAATTTCCCATAGCAAAAGGCACTACTACAGTACTAGCTAAATAACTGTATGAAGTTTCAAGGATATTATCATGAACAGGTTCAGTGGTCCAGAAAAATTGATTGGGCTTATCTGTTTCCATGGTAATAGTGAAAGTATCTAAATGGAGAACTTATCCATAGCAAATCCAGGACAAAGTATCGAGTAATTATCTAGAATGGTTTCAGAGTATTGATCTGGAAAAGTCGAAATTTGTAATTCTGCATATCTGTTTCCATGGTAACTGAAAAAAGTCTCTAAATGGAGAGCTTTTCTACAACAAAAGGCACTACTGCATTACTAGCTTAATAATCATTATGTCTGAAGTAACTATCTACTACGACTTCACAGCACAGGTCTGGAAAACAACCTAACATGGATGGATTGGTTCCTGGTGGTGGAATATATTTCCCCTATGGAATCCCACCTCTCAAGCCCCTACTAGAATGCATACAGGTGCAGACTGCACCCTGGACCCTACTCCTACACATTTACTGTGTCTGTGGTACTCACCTGCAACTCAGTGCCTCTGCAACACTGAATGCATACAGGTGCAAATGCCTCATTTTAAAATCTGGCAGCTTTGTGGTCTGCCAAGGTAAGAGAGTTTTTACTTTGCTGGTCCCTAATGTTTCTTAAATATGCATGACAGATGACCTGGCATGACCCAAAAGTTGATTACTAAAGCGGTTTTCACAACTGGCCCACAAGCACTTTTCAACACTTTACGATCAGAATGTTTTAGCTTCTCACAAGCTCTCGCATACATTGCACAATGTCTCGTATCCGTTGCATGCATTTAAGTTGGCGCATCAAGTCTCCTAAAAATAGTGGACATGCACACTATTTAGTCACAACCAAATGTGATCAAAATTATTGCAATCCAACGCACAAACATTAGTACGAACGTCTTACGTTTTGTGTACTCACATGAGGGATGTACAATTTTTAAAGGTTGTATGATGAATCACAGCTGTCTATGCGCATGTTTTGCGACCATGAGACTGTTGCTCAATGTGTCTCATGTAATCTTGCAACAATTCACTATCATAGCACGATTTATCCGCTTCAATTTACCATAGTTTGCCACTAGTACATATATCCTGTATGAGCATCTCTGTTTCAGACCACAATTGATAATGGATGCTGCTGCACCAATACCTCCTCGCTATCTGCTGAGTTTGCTGAATCTCCGAACACAGCTCCAAGAACTCCAGTAAAGACATATGTGCATGCTGGCGTTACTTCGTCTCCGACAAAGATATGAAAGACAAAGAAGACGATGGTGTATCAAGCAATGCATTGAGAGGCACATGTTATTTGGCCAGTATTGCACTGATGACGGAGATAGAGAGAATGCCAGGGGGGACTTGCCACCAGCCATGTTCTATGAGCTACATCACTCCAAGAATCCAGAAAAGTGAATGTTGCACACAGCCACTAGAACCTGGGCTGAAGCTGGCAATCACCATCAGGTATATAGTGACAGGCAACAGTTACAAGAGCCTCCAGTATTCCTTCCGTGTTGCCCACAACAACATAGCATTGTTCATCCCAGAGGTATGCCAGGCCATCATTGACGAGTATGAAGACGAAGTGTTTGCCTTTCCAACTAACCCAGAAGTGTGGCAATAAGTGGCCAGAAGAATGGTGAAAGATGGAATTTCAACCACACATGCAGAGCCCTGGATGGTAAACGTTGCCATAAGAAACCCATGTCGGTCTGGTACCCTCTACTACAATTATTAGAGGTTCTGCAGTATCATCTTCCTGGCCTTGGCCGATGCCAATTACAAATTTCTCTGGGCCGACGTTGGTAATCAAGGTTCCTCATCAGACGCCCAGATCTTCAACCATGGCCCACTGAGAAATGGACTGGAAAATGACACTCTTGGCCTACCAGATCCAGTGCCCTTGCCATATGATGACAGACCAAGCCTGTACTTCTTCGTAGTAGATGGCGTATTCCCCCTCAGGTCCTGGATGATGAAGCCCTAATCCAATTACAACATGACTTACGAAGAAAGGATCTTCAACTATTGTCTGTCCAGGGCTCGTCGTGTGGTGGAGAACACCTTCGGCATCCTTGCACACCACTGGTAGATGCATGTTGGGCACATGCACGGTGCAGCAGGATCCAGACCAGGCCAAGATCATCTTCATGGCAGCCATATGCCTGCACAACCTGATGAGTCTCCGCTATCCTGGCTTGCAGAATGACCTGGATCAGGAGGATGAAGCTGGCAACAGCATGGAGAAACGTAGCTCTAATATCAGTTAGTGGAGCACTAATAACACTAGAATTACTATAACAAGTAACAGTAATTCTAGTGATATTTGTGCTCCACTAACTGCTGACAAACAGTACCTTACTGCCTTACAAAATCCTGGTGTTACAGTTACAGAGTTTGCTTCATTGGTTTCTTTTTACAAATCCTTTATTAAAAAGTTACTTACATGTCCTTTACTAAAAGGTTACATGTTACCTTTATTTTTGACTAGTTACATTATCTTTATTCTTGAAAAGTTCTTTATCAATGTTACATTTATATACAAAATCAAAATCTTCTGCTACTGCTGGGACTTCCCTCATCACTCATTCAGGGCATGGCCAAAATGTCTGAAGACTGGGGCTGCTGCTGGCTGGTGGAGGCTGTTGTTGGTGTCTGGGGAGCAGGTCCGACAGGTTGAAGGATAATTGGCTGCCAAGGGAAGTGTTGGCAGCTTGCTGCTGACTTGTTCCTGGCTGCAGTTGGGCCGTCCAGCTGACAGGATACATTTGGTGGTACATCTGGGACTGGGGCTGCATCTGTGTGAGGTCATGTGGCCATTGGGCGGGCATTGAAGAGCGTCGGAAACGGACGGTATATATACCTCTTCTGACTCGCACGAGCATTTATACCATGGAATGCACGATCGCACGAGCGCTGCACATCCAATCGCATTGGCCCACATACAATCGTCTGATCACCTGATCCCTCACGCGATCCTATCGCATTATCTTACTCTCGCCCTTTGACTGTACAACAGTCGCATATAGACACTAGATGCATTGCAAGATTTAATGTGTTTGCATCACACAATGGTCATGAATTTCATAGGAATACTTTTTCATATGCGATTATTTCGGCAACAGTTTACAATCCAAATCAAAATTTATTGGTCGCACAAATATTTTGTCGCTTCTGCTTGTGCGCAAATGGTGAAAGTCGCTTCAGCACTGTTAGAATAAGAAATACATTTCAGCTAATGAAATATCTTAACAAGAGGCCCAGAGAGCCTGTATCGCTGACCTGGATCTTAATGACCAACAGTAATACATCTTTGCATATGTTCAAGAGTATAGATGCTTAAAGCAATATGACAAATTACCCCATCTGGGTTCTGTCCCTCAGTAGCTAGCCCTTCCATTTGTACAATATTGAAATCAGACTTCCTTATGACGTATCCAGTTTAATATAATTGATAGCTTTCTTTAAATCAAGGAAAGAAGATGGGCAAACAATATAACAAAATAAACCCTTAGTTATCGCTGGATGGATGACCCAGGACGTCACTGTGAAAGGTCTTTATAATTTTGTCCAAATCCTGCTAAGAAAACTCCCAGCCAAATATATCCCTTCAATTAAGTTTTTACTGACCAAATATGATGGCCTTTTGGTTAATCAGAAGAAGTTGTTTAATGATTTTACCAAATTTAACTCCAGTGACCTTAAATAGCATTATGAGTCAAGCTATTTTTTCACACACTATGTGGGCACCAATAAGGGAATTTTTGGTCAAATATTATGATCCTAGGCCATTTGGTTAATCAGAAGTTGTTCAAAGGTTCAACACATTTGACACCTGTGACCTTGAATATGGGTTAAGGTAATTTCTTTTCTCAAATATTATTGGGCATCATTGAGAACCTTTTTTAGGATAATATCGCTATTCTAGATCTTTTAGTTGATCAGAAAATGTTGTTTAAATGTTTAAACACATTTGACCTCAGTGACCTTGAATATGGATCAAGGTCATTTCTTTTCGCAAACTTTGTTGGGCTTCATCAAAGGAACCTTCCAGCCAAATACAGTCGAACCTCGTTATCTCGAAATTCAAGGGACCGCGAAAAATATTTCGACTTATCCGAAGTTCGACTCAAACAAAGTGCATCAATAAGGATGACAATATCAGTTTCCTGACGTCAATGACGGTTGATCGAAGTACGGCTATGATAGCATGGAAACAGTGTAAATGGCAGTAAATAAACAGGCACAAATTTATCACTACTTTCTCCTTTTAGATTCATCCAAACAACAGAACATGAATTAACAACTCCACCAATATACATTCGTACTCATGTCGTTCCGTCCCGCACACGTGAACTGACCAATCACATACAGGTCATATAATTTACAGAATGGCAATAAAACAATATTAAAATTTGCTTTTGATACGCTTCGAAAAACGATGTATGAAGATGTATGAAGCTACAGATCATATTAATATGACTATTAAGAATAAATGAATATAAGAAAAACATGGCACTAGAAAGTTATTACTTGTTACAGAAAACATTATACATGCAGTACAAAGACTTATCAAATCATGCACAAATATAGACTCTATCAATGAAAAATACTTTCAGCACTTATGTTCAAACACTAAATCTAACAAAGTGCCCGATCACAGTCCTTCAGTAAACAAGCTCAAAATTAGATTCAGAATAGTTGGGATCTGGTCATGATTTCATCACAAGTTTGTACTGGTCTTAACAGTTTGTACTGGTCTTAACAGTTTGAACTGGTCTTAACAGTTTGTACTGGTCTTAACAGTTTGTACTGGTCTTAACAGTTTGGTTTTCATCGTTCCTAAAGATGCACTCAACCAAGTTAAATGTTTTCATGTTTTGTGTAAATGTGCATCTTTTTTGACATGCAGGTAAGTCATCAGGACAGGATGGTGACATCAATTAAGAAGCCAACCTTTAATTGGATGATTAAACTAGCAATTAATCACCAGAGGCCAAGTGTTGTGTGTACAAAGGACTGATAAGTCGCATTAGCCATGTGCTTAGCGCAGGTGACTTGCTACTCTGTGTTTGTAATTACCAATTTCGGCATAAGGCGTGCAGATGTTTTGACAAAAATCTATTTCGAGACAACGAATAACTTTTCCGTTGTTTTACAACTGAAGGGACTGAAAAATCACTTCGACCTGAAAAATATAAACACTTGGTCAGGACCATCTCAGGATCTTTTCAAGCAAACAGACGGAGTCCCCATCCCCTGAGGATGCTTCATACCGAATCTGGACAAAATCCTCTCAATTTTGCATAACTTTTTATAACTATTTGCACCTAAATACCCCCATTGGGCCATGCCCCAGGCCCTAGGGGGCCTAGACCCATTGTTTATACAAACTTGAATCCTCTTTCCCTGAAGATGCTTCAGACTGAATTTGGACAAAATCCTTTGAATTTTGCATAAGCTGAAACTTTTTATATCTATCTGCACCTAATTACCTCTATTGGGCCCGGCCCCTCCCCTTCAGGCTTAAAGAGTTAATTTGTTTTTATGCAAATTAAGATAGTCTACCCAATAAACGAGACAAATCGAAATCATGTATTCAGAACTCACAGTTCTGCCTATTGACATTATTGGTATGATGGAATTCGAAATATACCCAAAAAACTGTAGATATAAACCAGGAAAAGCTGAACTTAATATAAATGGGTATAAAATGTTTATAAATGATCAAAGTACCGATACTGTCAGAGGAAAAACACTATATGTAAGGAAAGATCTAAGAGCAGAGGAAACAAGCAAATTCAGTGAATTTATGTGTATTTATGCAATATATATACTTAGGATGTAACTAATGAATGAACTATGATATGCATATGTGCAGATTATTGTGAAAACAATAATTCATTAAATATTTGCAGAATGAACCAATATTCAAACTTGACTTAGGCATCCTTAAAATGTACTTTGTTACAAAGTCTGGTGAAAATCGAACCACTCTGAAGAGAGTAATGGCCCGCAAACCATCGACCAATCAGACTGCAGCAGCCTCATTAAATATTCTCAGAACAAGTCAGTAGGCAAACATGACCTAGCTATAGGTATCCTTAAAATGTATTATGTGATTACTCACACTTACTTTTGATGGGGGATATTAATTATCCAAGAATTAACTTGGATTCTTGGACTAGTCATGAAGATAAAGATAGAGAAAATTTCTTGGAACGTGTTAGAGATATTTATTTGTTGCAACATGTGCATGACTTTACTAGAATAAGAGGACAAAATGAACCAACTGAAGAGGAAATGTTTGAGGACATACAACATGAAAATCTTTTGGGTCATAGTGACAATTTTGTGCTAAAATTCAAATTCAAGTGTTACATAGAAAGACCAAATAGCAAAGTTGAAAAGTGAAAGTATTTTAAGGGGGATTACATGTAGAAGTTGTAGATATTAAAAAAAGAATTGGAAATCAAAGGGGGAAATGTCCTACAAAGCAAAACTCGTAATATTCTATTTAACCAGTTTTTGGAACATTTCAACAGAGGTAAGGAAACGCATGACCACAAGATAAATACAAGAAACACAAGGAAACACAAGAACATATATGTAAACCCTTGTATACTAATCACGAGACAGTATAAGCAATAAAAGAGAAGCACCATAGCTGGCAAAGATATTTGGAAACAAAAAAATGATAATAAGTACAAGGAATATATATTGAACAACACAGATGTGATTAATTCTATTTGCAGAATGGTAAATCATAGTCTTAAGGACATAATCAGTGCTGCAACACAAACACGAGAAAGTTCATCTTCACTTACAAAACAGTGGATAATTGGAATCTACCAAAATCAGTGGTGCAAGCTAAAACTATCAAGTGTTATGAAGCAAGATTGGATAAATTTTAGAAAGACAAGGATTTAAAATACACCTATAACTCGTGACATAGACAACACTGGAAGATGTTACGTAAAAAATACAAATGACGAAACTGATAAATAAGATGCGGCCATAGTGATCAAATAGACTATCGTGCAAAATAGAAGCAAAACATTAAACATTTGAGCAAATTGTAAATAAATGTTATTGCCTACCACGCAGAAATTCCAACAAAGTCAAAAATGGCAGCCAACAATCGTTGGGGTGAGTTTCAATGGCGTCTACTCCATTCTTCTTAAATTCTTCGAGAACAGACAAATTTAAGAGGTCTTTAAGGTAAATAAGTCCAACCTTCGGATATCTACCATATGATTTGTCCAGCGTTTCCTCAATTTCATGGCTTAGTTGAAGATGGACCCATGCATCACTGAATGACTTTCCTGCCAAAGCATTACTATTGTATATTACCAAGTTAAGGAATGATGGCACCGGCGATTCAGTTTCAGTGGTGATTATCTCCAAAACATGTTTGGTAGTTTCCTCTTCTTCAGATCCCTTGAAGATCTGCAGGCTAGCCGACTTTTGCGTCATTTTAAACGTCGCCATTTACTATTTTCGAAAAAACTAACTTGCCAAACTTGTCTTTACACATACACATGTGATGAGTCTGTCCTGATGCCATGTACAAGTCGGATATCAACGGCCTGGCTAAACAAAATTAACAGGTAGAGAGCTCCTATTGACTAAGCCAGAACAAATCCAGGAAACACCTGAAAACCGGAAGTGCAATGTGGACTTCAGACGTTGTTGCGTATATTCCTATAATTAGGTCTACTTTCATTTTAGGAACTATTTTCATCCTATTAATTTTCATATTCTCGATTTTAAATAAAATTCTTTTAGACAAGAGTTCTTAAATCAATAATATATATATATTACACATGTGTAATACGCAAAACTATTAGACGAGTATAATTACTGAATATCATGGCAATCACGTGATAAGATCGTTTTTAAACGTTTTATGCGATTTTTTTTTATTTTGCTTCTGTAGTGGAAAAGATTGTTTGGAGACCCAGATAATAGATTTCAGTCCGGTCAGGGGTTCTTCCGGGTATATGATTTGGTGTAAACTACAAGTTTCTGGTAGAGAATGTAAATATTGTCACGTAGTTCATTTTTTTAGCTGTCTATTTCATGTATAACTGTGTAGATTCGTCTGTTGTGAGTGACGTGCGCATGCGAGTGTTATTGTTTACCTGTAACATGTGGTTTCTCCGCTGTCCAGGTGGAACGAGCAATATTTAGCCGCTACGCCTGGTCAGAACCTGTTCTATTGTTTTCCTGCGCGGGTCGAAGTGTCCTTTTGTGTGAGCTGTCAAATAATGTTGTCAAGTTTGTTTTAAGTGTTTCTTCTTGTTATGTGCTGTGTACGTAAGAGTGTGTAAGTCTTTTCGCCATAAGTTGTCTTTGTAAATCGTTGTCCTTTGTTCGTTAGACTGAGCTCACCTGTAGCGCCGGGTGGACGTGTTTTTGACACGTAGCGGTCGCTCAGCTATTCTTATACTTTCTGCCCCCTTGTCTGTTCAACCAATCCTTTATATACTACTATGCTACCTTACTCCCATAAAAACACAACCACCATATGCATGTGAGCCGATCGGACGATATAGCCGGCATTTAATGTCATATTCTCTTATATATATATACATTCCCTTACTCTCTCACTAGCCTCTCGCTACCCTAATTCTACCATTGTATAACAAGCCTTAGGAGAACCAAGCGAGCCACCCAACCTAAAAACCGTTATACGGGATGAGAGGAGGTGCACCAGCCCAAACTGCTTCAGGCTCCCGAAATAATGCTGGGATTTCAATTGTTCATTCATTTTAAGCACCTGCATTTTAATGGTCTACAATGGTATTTCTACCGGTCGTTAGATACTTTCACACTTTATATTTCTTCAATACCTTTACTGAAAAGCGAAAATATGTAAATTATATATTCCATACTATATATAAGTGCATTGTATACGTTTTCACCCGAACCCTGAAACTATAGCAGTCAACGCTTTGGAAGTCCGCGGCTAGAATGAATACTCGATATACCCCTCACGTGCGCGTCGGTACCCTAGTACTCCACGTGGCATGCCAATCAGTCTCCTGATTGGTCAGATACTATACACTGCCTTGCACGCCTTGCGTACATATGTACGTGACCGAAACTATAGGATAGCAAATTCCCGCTATTCTCCGAAACGCGGAAATTTTTGAAATCCTTTAAACACTACTATGCTACCGTACTCCCATAAAAACACAACCACCATATGCGTGAGCCGAGCGGACGATAGATTATAAAAGAACGGGATGCGACAAACCGATTTACCTTAAAGCTAATGTAACCTGCCTAAAACATCGATAAATCAATTACCTGACCCTATAAGCCTAAGCGCTTTGTAACCTGCAACCTATGCGACAAAGAATCTTAAATGTACCCGTCCTTGGAAATGTCACCTCTCCAACGACCATGGCGTTTCCAACACCTCTCATTCACGTCATTATTGGCAGCCTCTGTAGCCCCACCAGCTCTGAGTGAATGCAAACCCAAATTCTGGTTAACTGCAACTTCTCGCAGCCTCCTCACTATGCATTCTCGAGCTCGAGTATAACTCAATGCCTTGTTCTTATGGATAAGTTTGCAGCTGGCTCTACCACGCACCAGAGGCCTGAACAAAAAATAGTCTGGATCTGTGCTTCCTAGTAAAGACATATACTTCTGCATGATTCTATAAGGACAAGCTACTGTCTCGCCTCTTGCTATCACTAACTCATCACCTAACCTATATTGATCCGTTTTGCTTTTCCTAATAATAAGCTTAAGATAGGTATCTTGAAATGAAATGTCTCTCACCCTCAGCGCCCTCAACTCATCATACCTCAAAAATCCCGCGAATGCGAGCACAATCATTACTAAATCTCTAATGACAAGCAGATCTGTTTTGTCTTTATACTTTTCACAAAGCTCTATAATGTCACTGGTTGAAACACAGTTCTTCTTAACCCGAGGTAGCTGATCCTGTCTCTTGGAAGATTCCATCAAACTTTTCACAAAACAGTTTTCCGTGGGATCCGACATCCCGCTAATCCCTTGTGCCCATTTTATAGAATACAGAGTCGTGGTCAAAACGCTATGTGAACATCCTGTATCTAGCATATGTGTTAAATACAACGCCACATGGATGGGTTGCCCCGGAAGCGCGCAACCCCCTTCCCGCGTAATGAATTGGCTCCATCTCCGAAAACCACCATAATACTTGGACACAGCTCAGCACGTATCCAGCCATCTTTGAAGAAAGAAGTTCTAAATGTTGAGATAGCGACCCTACCGCCCGCATCGCCTCGTCTATCCGTGCCTTCCCGCGTAATGAATTGGCTCCATCTCCGAAAACCACCATAATACTTGGACACAGTATTGTCAGCTTTAGAGCTCAGCACGTATCCAGCCATCTTTGAAGAAAGAAGTTCTAAATGTTGAGATAGCGACCCTACCGCCCGCATCGCCTCGTCTACCCGTGCCTGTAGTCCTAGCCCTGAAGCATGAAAACATCTAGATGAGCACCTGCTAGCTAATTGAACGTTATACGCAGTGCAAACATTACGGGCGCCTTACTTCCGGTAAACACCCCATTATTACCCTTCCCCTGGATCACACTTTCCGGGGGTAGCTGCTTATAATCTTTGACGAAACAGGCAAATCGACCCTCACTAGGGGCGATAACTGGCCAGAACGGCGCTGACGTCCAGTATGGGACCACCAGAACTGCTTGAGCTTGCTCGTCTAGTAATTTGTTAACTACTTTGGGTATCAACCGCGGGGGTGGTACTAACCAATTATTTTGACCTGCCCAAACTTGCAACAAACCATCAACACCCGCCGTACCGGGACACCACCAACGCGAATTAAACAAATCGCATTTTGTATTATGTGTCGAAGCAAACCTATCCACCGTAAATGGACCCCATGCATCGTCCAAGCCTAGAAACACGTCCCTGTGTATTCCCCAGTCATCACTGTCCCCAGACTTGCTATACAGATCTGCCAACTTGTTCTCCGCCCTAGGTATCCAGGAAGTGACAATCTCACACCCCACATTGTTGCAAATATCACGAATTTGCCTTGCCTTCCCCTGTAGTTCTTTTTTCCTACTGCCATTGTGTATTATACTAGCTACATTCTGGCTGTCAGTCAACCACAACACCTTACGCCCTACCAGGCGTGGCCCTACCAGGCCATCCATGTAATAATGTCTCAACATGCGAACTACCGCCTCGAGCCCGCGCCATGTAGAGTTCTCCGTCATCGCAGCCTCCGACCACGTACCTATGACCTTACTGTCGTTTACCTGTAGCACATATCTACCGTACCCTGTGCCTGATGCATCACTGTAAATTGATACGTCATGAGTATTGTCTCTGATATGGAATGGCCTCCCGTTTAACACTCTAACATTTCCTGCCCAGAACCTTAGCTCGTCTAGTGCTTCCTTGTTAATAAATATAAAAGAATCCCATCCTGCCCGTGTCAGTATGCATGCATACATATACCTGGTCATAAAACGCACAACGGTCCCAAAGGCAACGCCCATAGAAATTACCTGACCTACTACCCCTGCTAGGACTCGAGCTGGTACACCCAACCTCCCAACCGACACAAAATCTAAAACTGCCTTCACCGACGTCTCAAACCTTACTAACCTTTTTTCTGTAATATACACCATACCCTCTGTCATATTCCATCGCAACCCTAGCCATGTAACCTCCTGGGTTGGTTCCCATTCACACTTGTTCTCCGCTATCAAAAACCCGAACCTGCCTAAATCTTTATGTACCTGCCTACTAAGATCTACTGCACGTGTCTTATTCCTGTGACCCCCAATTCCGTCATCGAGATACATGATGACCCTGTGACCTCCAGCTCGCCAGTACTTCACGAGCTCCCTAGTAACTTTCGAAAATATGTACCCGGCCGTGGACAGTCCAAACGGTAATACCTTGAAAACGAAATACCTCAATTTTCCTTCAAAATTCCATGCAAAACCAAGGTAGGTTTGGTGATCTGGATAAATTTCTATGTGGTGATATGCAGATTGTAAATCGAGTGTGAATAGGAAATCTCCCTTACCAAACATGTCCAACGCAACCGAAGACTCCTCGTATCGGAATGCAAATTTATATAAAAAAGGGTTTATATGCCCACAATCTAGCACCAAACGTAACTTCTCTTTATTTCCCGCTACTGTCAGTGGATTTATTTTTTGAAACTGTTGAAATTGATAAAATTCTAGGTTATCTGAAAGCTGTTGGTCTGTAGTATAGACTATGACTTACAATTTTAATATTTTGTGATAATATAACCTATTAAAATTTTTAGCATTTTTTTTTAAACTTTTCACTTTGTTTGATGTTATTTTCCTTTTAGAACGCTGTGTGTTTTATCTAATGACCTGTTTCGTGTTGATGGGCCATTATGATTGTAACAAAAGCAATATCATATACAACCACGTCAAATTAAATGAAATGCATTAGGGAACCAGACACTTATTTCACGACATCTACATAATGAGTATGATTTTAATAACAGACAACTCTCGTTATATTTGAACACAGTAACCATTAAGCATATAGACAATTTGTTTTACAATGAAAGGAGACAAGCCAAGTAAGACTTTGTCATGCAATTTGAGGTATTGCAATTAAATTACGTATGTAATAACGCTATATTTTATTATGCAGGGAGAAATCATGAAAGAATATCTAACTTTGAAAGTGGTAATCACCATCCCAAAACAAGAAAACAAGTCGAGGCTATATATCCACTCCCATCAATCCCATATATATATATTGCAAATGTTTTGCTTATTCACAACCTGTCATGAAACAACAAAACATTATCATTTACGTTAGATAATACCTGATTTTCTAAAACCAATCTTACAAGTTTTCTAACACAAGTGGGCATCGCTACCTACTTGTATTTTTACTTTTGCACTGATTGATGATCAATCAATGGAACTTGACGTCAATAATCACTTAGAACATGATTACGCCCAATTGTGTTCCTTGTTGTTTCCGGTGCGAAAATCGCATTTAGCTATCCTGCCAACGCGTCGTCACACGAAGACTATTGCTTCGGGAACGGTCTGCAACCCTTCTGGTGGCATGAGACGGATGACCTCCAGGTAATTATATCATCAGAAAATGTACTACTATATCAACATATGTAGTAGATTAGTTACGATAGAAAACCACTGGCCACTAGCAATACATAAATGTTTACAGTAAATGTCAGTACATAGGCAGATATATTGTGATTAAATATCTGACTTATGTCTAGCATAATTTAGAATTTTACATATTAACTTTTTATAGTTCACACGCTTCATCATATAATTTAGATTATAGATGCTCAATGTTTTCATTCAGGACACCAATTTGAAGTCGATTATATGCAATGCCCAATGAACTGTTCAAAATATTAGTGCTAAATACATTCGTCCTTGAGACAATTTGGTTTGAAACACTAATTCATTTATATTCTTAGCAGATAGGTCAACAATAAATAAAAAAATATGTCCTCTGCTGTATATATCACGATTATTTTTAACAATAACTTGTGACAGAAAGTTAACATCTCCATGCGCTTTGGAGTTCCAAAGCGGCATGAACCGAAAGTTTATTTCTAACCATGGAGTCATAGCGGTAATATGAAAGCAACATCACAGTGCTGCTACAACCTGTCTCATTTTTTTTATTCTAAAACCCCGACACGTTATGAAAGTAGCAGCAAATGAGATACAAGGTATCGTTTTTAAGGACTAGTGATTTATCTTGCATTTACACCACCTATATAGATATGTGGTCTGGTATTGGCTTCTTCGTATGTTCATGAGATAAAGGAGAAGGATAGAGCTTACTCAGCGTTATTGTAGTACATAAAACGATTGAGCAAGATACGGGAAATTTTTTTCAGTTTTAAGTAATCTACAGTTTGAACGTACAAAGACTTACACCACGAACTTGCATGCGTCTCTTTTTTCAGATCAAATAAGGTATATCGGTAATCTTAATTTTATGTGATATATATCATTCAAAAATGAAAAGACGTGTCCATGCATTCCGTGCCTTATCTGGTATCTGTTCAAACTATTTTTCTGTTGCATAATATTTTCCATATAATTATTATGAGAACGTTAACCTCCAATATATTTACATGCATTACGATTTCAGCTGACATTTGCCGTGGTGATATCGAGTAATCTTCCCCTTAAGTTCAAAACCAATTATAACAAGTTAAAAGCTTTCAAAGTAAGGCTTTTCGTAAATTTACCTTGCTTGATAGAATATTACCTGAATATGTTATGCCATTCGCTTCTGTGATTGTTTAACCAGGAGCACATCAGACATGTCTCTATCCCTATAAATTACAATGTAAGTAAGTACACGTTAGACAGAGTTAAGGATACGTGTACCTACCAGTCACATTATAGATTTACGTAGACTGTCAATATCAAACATTGTCCGAAAGACACATTATTGAATACAAATGCATCATACAGCTGTTTCTTAGGAATCGTCAGTAATATTAATGGCCTGACGTTTGAAGAATAGGAAGCGAATGAAGCAAATCTAATGTAAACGAAACAACAGTCGAAATGAAGACAGAGGGCGGGGAGAAGTATAAATAATTTCTTAATTGTCATATATAGATAACTTAAGAACAGTGCACATATGTATGTCAAGTGACAATAACCTGGTGACATGTATATCAAAATATGCCTAAATTAGTACAAATCGTACTTGTGAAGGCTATAAAATATTAACCTTTTTGAATTATGGACTGTATCTTCATTTGTTCCTGAAAGACGCTAAACGATTCTAGAAAATGACAAGAAAAGATAGACATTATAGCCTGACATGCTTTATTTAAGATTCAATAATTGTTATGTAGTTAATCTAAACGAATATGAAACGTCACGAGGGCAATTAATTTCATATAACAAGTGATATGAGTTACTCCTCATTCCCATGGATGTAATCGTGTTTTTCTGCATTTTTATAAACAGTCGGATACTGTTTATTCCCTATACATTCAAAAGCATCTGTTACTTTTGAGTATCATAACGTGTCATGATACATATTATCACCCCTTAAAACTTGCGCGTGTTATGAAATATATCCCGACATAATTACTCTCTATTTTCGTCCATAGACTATTGAAATATCTTGGTAGGTGTACAATTAAAAGTCCAATTTCAGGATTCTCAATTTTCAGTCTAATATTAGGATGTAGAAGATAGAAAAGAGCATTAATATTATTAATACAAATTAGTATATCGGAACAACATATAGTTTCGGTTATAAATGCAACATCAATCGTGCTGATCAACTAACGTCTGTCGGGATTTGGAAACAAAAAATTGGCTCAACATTACACTATATATGTACTTCTGTTCTGGAAGTATCTTTTATATTACGCTGAGCTATATTAAGAACAATTCTATTGGATTAATGATACATATGATTCATATTTAACATCGTGTAAGACTTCTTTTTCACAACTTGAACAAAGTACTTATATTAAAAGTCTATACTAAACAGTTGAAGTATGGTTCAAACAGGAGACATAATGAACAATTAATTTAATTTTAATAATCATCTGAGATAAAATCCAGTCCTATTTATGATGAAACATCTGACTTATATTTAGCATAATTTTGAACCTTACATATTAACTTTTTATAGTTCATGCGTCCCTTTATAAAGTTGATTTCAAATTAGTTATAATTTGACGTCATCTCTGAAAAAAAATATATATCCATTACAGCACCAGTATGATGAAAACCTGTTACGGTACCAAATATGATGCAAATTTGTTAAATATTTCTTCTAATGTAGAAATCGTAGAGTTGATAATGAATATCCGGTAATTGTATTACAGTGGTGTCCGCGGTCACGGCGCCTGCAAAATGAAAAACTTGTTACAATTTCATAAGTTTAGACTAGAGTCTGATGTTCGCACTCCTACTGGCTAGAAAGGTGGTCGTTTTTATATACTAACCATGTTAATTAACTAATGAAGTACTAATACCCATTAGCTTACTGGTAAACATGAAATGAAGTCTATATGAGTTTTACACGAGGTCTTGCACACCTAAATGGCAATAGATTCGGCTATTTACAACCAGATAAAATTGCACTGACCATCATACAAACTGCTTAGATAGGTTTCAGGTAATTGACTTATATCATCAGAAAATGAACTAATACCTGAACATATGTAGTAGTTCAGTAACGACAGAAAACCTCCGGCCACTGGGCAATACCTAAACGTTCACAGTAGATGTCGGTACTAAATTAACATAGGCAGATACATTATGATGAAATATCTTACTTATGTCTAGCATAGTTTTGAATTTTACTTATTAACTTTTATATGGTTCACACGCCTCATCAGGTAATGTAGATTATAGATACATAACATGTTTTCATTCAGGAAACCAATTTGAAGTCAATTATATGCAATATCCAATGAACTGTTCACAATATTAGTGCAAAATACATTCGTCCTTGAGACAATTTGGTTTGCAACACTAATACATTTATAATTTATTAATACATTCGTAGCAGATAGGTCAACAATAAACTAAAATATATACTATGCTGTATATATCACTATTATTTTTAACAATAACTTGTGACAGAAAGTTAACATTTCCATGTGCTTTGGATTTATTTCTACCCATGGAGTCACAGCGGTAATATGGAAGCAACATCACAGTGCTGCTACAACCTGTCTCATTTTTTATTCTAAAACCCCGACACGTTATGAACGCAGCAGCAAATGAGATACAAGGTATCGTTTTTAAGGACTAGCGATTTATCTTGCATTTACACCACCTATATAAATATGTGGTCTGATATTGGCTTCTTCGTATGTTAATGAAATAAATGAGAAGGGTACAGCTTACTCATCGTTATTGTAGTACATAAAACGATTGAGCAAGATACGGGAAATTTTCTTCAGTTTTAAGTAATCTACAGTTTCAATATGCAAGGACTTTCACCACGAACTTGCATGCGTCTCTTTTTTCAGATCAAATAAGGTATATCTGTAATCTTAATGTTATGT